TGCGTGACTTATAAGTATAAAGCATTTTTATAAAGCAGCTTAATTTATTTTAATAAATTTATATAGCAACAGGCTTAATAAAACAGGCTTAATAATTATGATACTTATTTACCCAAATTATAATTAACAAAAGAGCTGTTATTTTTCCCAAAGTCTGTTTCTGAATAGCCTCTAATGGAAGGGGTCAGACTACAGAAAAGCTTCAAGTCATAGGATCTCTGATTAACAACACTCAGAGGTTCAGATTAAGTTTTTTGACATAAACTGAGGTTTTAGGAAACTAGAGATCAATTTTAAAGTTCTCCTGAAACAAAGAAATGGAAAAAAATTCTTTCTGAAATACTATGATTTCATAAAGAGTACAGTCCACTAGGGGATAGTTCTATATAACATCTTGAAAAATCTATTAATTAAAGGATACTTAAGTTTACTGCTATTTAACAAGAAAACAGGGCTTATTAAGTGTTGACAATTATATATACATAGCACAACAGAAAAAGACTTAATTATTCTGGTAAATTAAGAGAAACAAAAAATGATAAAACACCACAAAATGAAAAATAAAGCATTGTAGAATGAGTTTTAATCAGATAACTTTTTTCTAGCCTCTACACTGATGTAATGATTACAACTTTTAATCTGATCTGTTGCTACAAAAAAACGAATTAACAGTAACCAGAAATTTAGAAATATTTTATACCAAATATAACAATGATAGAACTATGGAAATACCAATTCTGTATAATTTACATACTTGTATATACAAATAAAACATGCACAATAAAATGAGATTAGAATTGTAGAAGGCTTCTATACGATATCTGAACTAATTTTCTTTTAAAAAACTGGGTCAAGGGCCCTCCCTGGTGGCGCAGCAGGTTAAAGCACAAAGAAGCTTAAGCCACTTCCGCATGAGTTCAATCCCCGCCTGCCCCAGAGGAGATCCACATGGCACTCCTGACCGCCGGCTGCTCCCCTCAGTAGTGTACTTCGTCCGATCTGCCTGTTCTGTACCCCACTCTGTCTCTGGTAAATCCTCTCACCCTCCGCATTCTGGCCTGTACCCCAGTTCTGTACGAATAAATAAATAAATCTTAAAAAAAAAAAAAACTAGGTCAAAACAAATTAGTAGCATATATCTATCCTTTGATAGGGTTCAATCACACTTTTTTAAAAAAATATTTATTTATTTTATGCTTACAGAACTGGGGTACAGGCCAGAGGTGTGTTGGGTGAGAGCATGCACCGGAGACAGAGTGGGGAGCAGAACAGGCAGATGGACAAAATACACTGCTGAGGGGGGCAGCAGGAGAGCTAGGAGAGGTCTGCCAGCCATGTGGGTCATCTCCCTGGCCAGGGATTGAACTCATGCTGCAGTGGCTTCAGAGAGCTTCAAAATGTTGTCCTTTAACCCACTGCACTACCAGAGAGAGCCCCTCAATCACACTATTTTAAAGAAAGAATTACAACTTCTCATGCTATAATACATAACTTCTCATGCTATAATACATCACTGAAAAACCTGTATTGAACTATCATTTTATATTTTAATTGTCAGAGCTTCCACTATCAGCTAGAGGTCAAATACTGTACAGAAAGAAAACATATACACTGTATTCCTTTTTTTTTTTTTTTTTTTGGTGATAGATTCATTTGTCCAGTGCAAACCCAGTAATACCCACAAACGCCAGTATTTTTTGTATAGACGGACTCATCTCACCCCATTCCTGACTGCATGACTTCGTGTCTGTGAGCCCTGGTTAGGAGTGACTCTGTCAAGGTTGATCCAGGTTGAGTAATTGGTGCCTTGAATGCTGTCATTGTTGCACTCTCTCTTCTATTCCAGAATAGTGCAGCAAATGCTAGGTTAGGGAAGGCTCCTAGAGCCAGTTTTATGACATCAGGGTGCGTATAGCTCCAAGAAATCCAAACCATTCCCGTTTGATATCATGCTTTGTTTGCAAGAAGGCTGGAATTTCAGCGACAACAGCCAAGAAAACAAGGGTTCCATCCATACACTGATCTAAGAATTGTCATATACGTAGTCATTTGGGAATAGCTGGCAACCATTTTAATCAGGTCCATTAATCTCTCCTAGGGGACTCAAACTTGGTGGATAACAAACTAACTATGAGACTGCCAACCCATAACCATGAGTTAAGCCAGTCAATAGCAGCACTGGGAGGGTAAAGGCTTAATGCAGAAGCTGTATCTCCATGTCCTTGTTTGTTCAGTGTCACCATAAGATTCTTAAACCTCTTCTTAATTTGTTCTGATCCATTTCAGATTTTCTCTGAAGATCCAATTACTATTCCAATCATTAATGTGCAGCAGTGACCCAACAGTGCCGACTTCTCTAGAGAAGTAATGTCACGTTCCGGTATTTTAGAATTGTACTTTGCTAACAGTATCGTGCACTATATTGTCCCCAGTCTGAAAGGGAGCAGCAAGATAGGACTGACGGGGTATACCAATGCCATCCATAGCCTCCCATAGTCCAGGAACTAGGTAGCACATGAATATCAAGGCTCGCTGTTGCTGGGTGGAATTTAGCCCTATGATCGTGGTCCAGTAGAGAGATTGTGATTCTGTCTATGTCTTCACCTCTTCCAATGCCTGGGTGTGATTCAGACATATCATTTGGGTATTGCCTGAATTTTCCTGGTAGTTTGAAGGGAGTAGGGAGTCCAGGACTCTCAATGAGCTCAGTGGTGATTTCTGGGTTAATCATCTCACTATTATAGCTAGGCTGAGTGGCCCTTGATTGTTTCCCTTATTCAGGCATATTGTTTTGTAATTTCAACACTTGGTGAAGGCAGGAGGATAAAGGTGAGAAGCAAAAAAAATGAAGACAGAGAACAGAATGCAAGTGCTAATTCCTGATAACCCCACAGCTCACTCTGCAGCAGCACATCTTTTCTTTTCATAGGGCCATCCCTGTACTGCTGTTCTAGAAAAGCTTCTACATGTAATAGGCATTACTTTTAAATTTGAACACATACACACACACCCCAATGTGTAATTTATGCCTACTGAGATACTCTACTATCTATACTCTAAACACTAAATACTGTATACTTAGTGTTAAAAATGGGCAAGAATTAGAATTAAAAGGGAAAATTTACATAATTAGCTACAATTATTACTCTTTTCCTTCTAACTGTAGAGTACTTTTAGAGCTACCATTAGGGGTTAGCCCTTGAATCAGAAGAGCCAAAACACATCAGAATAAAAAAATGTGGAAGAGCAAGTAATAAATGTGTGGCCACCCTAATTTCTCTTCATAAAGGATTTGTAAATTGAAGTTAACAAAGAGTTAACAACACTGAACAGAAAAAGGACCCTGTTAATTTAAAATAAGCCTAAGTTGACAAATTCCTAATAAAGTCCCAAAATACTGCTACAACCTTTATTCTTTTTAAAAAATACAATGTCTAAGTTGGTTGGAGGTTTAGATAGAATCTCTCTCTATATATATTTTTTCCATTAAAGGCACTGTTAATCTAAGATGGAATGGCATATTTTCTCTCTGAAAGTATACTTAATTCATTGAAAACTCTTTTAGGGCCATCCCTGGTGGTGCAGCGGGTTGGCGCTGCACTTTCGAAGCTAAGGCAAGCCGTGGCTGCTTCAGTGTGAGTTCAATCCCCACCCCAGAGTTGACCCAAATGGCACAGCAGACCTCTCCTGTCTCGCCCACTGCTCCCCTCAGCAGTATGCTTGGTCAATCTGCCTGGCTCCCCACTTTGTCTTCTGGTGAATCCTCTTGCCGCCCCAGCACCTCTGGCTGTATCCCATTTCTGTATGTATAAGTAAATAAATCTTTAAAAAAAAAGTAAGAAAAAAGAAAACTCTGATAACATACAGTTCCTGGTAAGGATGGTTTATACTAAGTTACAGGGGCATCATAGCTAGTGAAAATATATATAAAAGAATTGGACGAATGTGAATTTGAAGAAACTTAATCATATTCACATAAGCATTTGACCCATACTGTTCATTTGATTTAAATGAATGTAATTAGCTAGCACTTATTGTATCCTGTTAGGCATTGGGCAATGCTTCTCACAAACATTCTTTTATTTAATCCTTCAAAAGCCATGAGATAGACTGTTAATTGTCACCAGATATCCATTCTTCCCTTTCTCCGCATAACAAAACCTTATTTTATTTGGGGTAGCAATGTATTTAGTTAAAGCTGTATTTCCCACTGATCCCTGAAGCTAGATGTGTCCATGAGACTAATCCAAGGCATCAGACACAAAAAGAAGGACCATGTGGCACTTTCAGGAAGGCTATCTAAAGGAAGCTGACTCAACTGGGAGAGATTTCCTTTTTCCTCCACTCATCACCTTTGTTATCCAGGGTCTCTTGATGTTCTGACTGTCACATCTAGGCTTGCTAGAGTTCTGGGACAATCAGGTAACCAGCCTTGACTTTCCTGACTCTGTTCTTTTTATACAACAGAACAAATCTCTGCAGGTTTTAACCATCACTACATGTGACTGAACCTAATGTCAAACGCCCATTTCTATAGATGGAGAAAATGAAGGCTATGATGTTAGGGAATATGTCCAGGGCAACCCAGCAAGTAAAGAGCAAGGGTGCCAATCTAAGTCTGCCATACTCCACAGTTCATTCTATTCATGATGACTCAGCAGAATAAGGCTCCAAGATGGCAGTGCTGGCATACCCTGTATTCACCACTGTGTCCTTATCGAGCACCTGCCCAGCACATAGAAGGTGTACGTTAGATGTCTCTCGAGTGAATGATTTTGTTGCAGTGTTTCATTAGTTTATCAAAGAAGTGTTTAAAATAAATACTCCATTATATTAGATACTCTTTTAGAACCAGTATGTATGTGTAGGCACAAATAGATTGTTTTAGCAATAAGATAGGACATCAGTAAAATACACAAACATGAAAGATTAATTGTAAAACACTGATAATTAAATCATATAAGTGCTTGAGAAATAAGACTATTACACAATCTTCTTACCTATAGTTACATCTCCCCGGATTTCACTTTCTACACACACAACTGCTCCTGGAGCAATCTTCACACTGCAGAAAGAATAAGGTAATATTCACCATGGGTAAAGTTTTTGAAAGTATCAGAGAAGCTATCCTGACACTGGTGAGGAAAAGACTAAGAAAAAATTGATAGAAAATTGCAAAGTAAATTATAAGATGATAAGTTTTAAAAATTATAAACTCAGTCATACTTACCAGATTAAATCATACTTGACACCTTATGTAAAAAGCTTGAGAAAGGAAGGGGCTTGTGTTATTCTTTTAACACAAGCAATGCTTTACTACTTACTATACAAGTAGCAACATGTTGAAAATAACTGATTAAATGATGCTACACTATGGACTATCACACAGACATAAAATAGAATAAATATATTTTTGTAAAGATTTCGAATGATTTTCAAATTAAATTATCAAGTTAAAAAGCAAAGTCAGGCCCTCCCTGGTGGTGCAGAGGGTTAAAGCACAGCACTGAGAAGTTAAAACCACTTCAGCATGAGTTCCAACTCCGCCTGACCCGGAGGTGACCACATGGTGTGGCAGACCTCTGCTGACCTGCCCACTGCTCCCCTCAGCAGTGTACTTCGTCAGTCCACCTGTTCTTCTCCCCATCTGTGTCTGGTGAATCCTCTCACCACCCCTACATCTCTGGCCTGTACACCAGTTCTGTATGCACAATAAAAAAAAAAAAAAAAGCAAAGTCAGAAAATGGACAGTATATATACTGCCACTATTTTTTTTTTTTAAAGATTTATTTATTTATTCATACAGAACTGGGGAACAGGCCAGAGATGCAGAGGGTGAGAGGATTCACCAGAGACAGAGTGGGGAGCAGAACAGGCAGATCAACGAAGTACACTGCTGAGGGGAGCAGCGGGCGGGTCAGGAGAGGAGAGGTCTGCCACGCCATGTGGTCACCTCCCGGGCAGGCGGGGATTGAACTCATGCGGAAGTGGCTTTAGCTTCTCAGTGCAGTGCTTTAACCCGCTGCGCCACCAGGGAGGGCCACTGCCACTATTTTTATAAAAAGGATGAAAAAGAATGTACATTCAAAATATTTAGTAATCAGCAAGGTAATATTAATATAGAAATCAATGTTTAAAATGTGTAAATATTCCTATTCATTTTCTAGCTATACCTATTATATAGTAACTGCTATGGGTGAGAAATTGTTAAAAGATTCACTGTTTCCTGTATTTTGAAGCTTTTTAGTATTCTGCTATGACACTGATACAGTTCAGTCTAGCTAAATGTGGTCCTAGCTCAGCTATGAGCTGCTATGACTGACATGAAGAACTGTACCAAATGGTTTCTCTACTAAAAGTGGTAATCATTGGGTATCTTGTTCCCATTAAGAATTTTTCTTAGGGCCTCCCTGGTGGTGCAGGGGTTAAAGACACAGCACAATCAAGTCACTGTCTTGAGTTCAGCCAGGTTGCTAATCCAATTGGCTAGCAGACTTCTCCTATCTCTACTGCTGTTCCCCTTTTCAGTCAATCTGCCTGATCTGTTTCCCACTGTGTCTCTGGTGAATCCTCTCACTCCCTGCATTTCTGGCTTGTACTCCACTTCTTGTATGCATAAATAAATAAAATCTTAAAAAAAAGAAACACCCCATATTTGTCTAAAAAAGGAGAAAAACTTTAATAAAAAAAGGAGAAAAACACATACACAAATTGGTTATTGCAGTATATTTAGAATAGTGAAAATTGTTAATAATTTTGATAATCACAAAAGGGGAGGGGTAAATGAAATAAAATATACAGGCACTCCTTACAGATAGTAAGGGTTCAGTTCCAGACCACTGAAATATAGTAAATATAGCAATGAAGCATGTAATATGAATATTTTGGTTTCCCAGTGCATATAAAAGTTACATTAATACTATACTATAGTCCATAGTAAATAACATTATCAGATATAGTAAATAACATATATTATGTCTAAAAACATGTATATATATTAATTATAAAATGTTTTACTGAAAAATAATGCTAACCACCATTGGAGCTTTCAAAAAGTCATTCTTTTTGCTGTCTTGTAAAATACGGCACTATCTGTGAAGTGCAATAAACCAAAAAGCAATAAAAAGAGGTATGCTTATAGTCAACAGCCATTAACTTACTGGCCTCACTAACAATTAAACAAGATAAAACTACCTTTTTATAAAAATAGCTTGCTGACCCCATGTATACTATATCTTTATCTCCTCTCCCAAAACTTCTGGGGAGATGAAAGATATTAACTAAAAAAAGACTGTCAACAAAAGGAGAAGAGTTAAGCAAAAGAAGTGTTACTGAGAGTGGCAGGCCCGGAGACCTAACTACTAAGGATTTGTAGAAGAGGATAAAAGCAGAGCTGATGGGTATCTTTCTCCCTTCCTGCCTCTTCCAGTTCCACAGTCAGCTGGTAACTGACCCTTACCTGAGGGTCAGGCCTGTGCTCAAAAATACCAGGCCTAGAAGTAGGTGAAGAGAACCAGCAGGCAGTGAGACCACAATATCCCCTTTTCTAGTGCCCCCTTGGCTCTCTTACAGAATTTCAGGTAGCAAGGAAAGTGGAAGACGATTTGCTCCTAGACAAACTAACAGACATCATGAATTTTCCACTCCTCATCTGCCTTGCTCTCCCTGAAGCTCCCAGTATTTATCAATGGGCAGAAAGTCAAAGATGATCAGATAGAGTAGGAAAACCTCAAGTAAAACAGGAAAAAATGAAAACAACCAAGAAAAAAATATTCTGAGGAAAAAACAGTTCATAGCATAAAAGAAAACTTAAAAAAAATAAAATAAAAACAACCTTATACTTAATTCAGAGAAATGAGAGATAACCACTTTTTAAAACATGACAAAAGTGAATGGAAAAAGGACAGTCTAAAAAACAGCTCCCAGGCCCTCCCTGGTGGCGCAGCGGGTTAAAGCACTGCACTGAGAAGCTAAAGCCACTTCCGCATGAGTTCGAATCGCCTGCCCCGGAGGAGACCACATGGCGAGGCAGACCTCTCCTGACCCGCCCGCTGCTCCCCTCAGCAGTGTACTTCGTAGATCTGCCTGTTCTGCT